AAGGGTAGATTGCTCCCTTACTTGCTTTTTGCAAGTAATTATTTTTGCATCTAGACACTTCAGAAGGGATACTTTATGTTGTCTTCAGGTAACTAGTTTCTTCCGATTTAATGCCGTTTAGGAGTATTGGGACATTAATTTATATGGTGTGTATTTTTCATGTCTCCAGATAAGGGTAGATTGCGCCCTTATTTGTATTTCGCAAGTAATTATTTTTGCATCCAGACAAATTCTTTTATTTAATATTTCAAATCATTATGGTCTGTAATGCTCCAGTTAATTTTGAATATCCATGGTTGCGTTCGGGCATGGTCGGGCGATTTAGCTGCTATCTTTGGCTGCTGTTTTCACACCGGTCAATTTTTACAAATCAACATGCAAGTTCAGAATTATCAAACATTTCGTCCTGTATTTTTTCTTTCAATACTTGTAAATTTTGAGGTCTTTAATAATACTTATATTTTGTTGAAGTGTCCTCACAAAAATATGTCTAAAGGACTGAGATCGGGGCTGTCTTCTGACCACATTTTTTACAGTGTTCGTTGACGGGATTCGTCCTCAAAAATAAACTTGCCGATATTCCTGAAGAACTTTTGCACATTATTGTTATTTGAATAATACAGTTTAATTCTGTTTTATTTTTCATCATCAGAATAACCCATTTTATTTTTTTTAAACTGAAATGGGTTATTCTGATAATGATAAATCCCATGTATTTTTAAAGGAAAGTTCGTTTCTGTCATTTTTGTCTGATTGTGTGCAAGAGAGATAGAGTTATAGTGTACGATAGATAGAGTGACTTTGTCCTCATAGAGGACTGTCTATCTCTCTCTCTCTCTCTCTCTCTGTCTATCTCTCTGCTGTCTTTAGGAGTCTCTGGGGCTTCCCCAGCATTTCAGGACACCTAGAGAGGGAGCGTGGGGTTGGGGTAGAGTGCGTGGCCTTTTTAGCCTTCGTCATCGAGCTATGATGTCACAACGTATGAGAAAAAAAACTGTTTTTGCTCGTAATTCGGAAATGGTTGGAAATACATATAAACAAATCTCCCTTTGGTTGTTCTGAGAAGAGGTGGGTGACAATATATGAAAGAAAAAAAAAAAAGTATTTGCTTATACCTCGGAAATGACTCGAAGTATCAAAAAATCTACCCTGGTTCTGATTGGTGATAGAGTGAAAAACGTTAGAAGTCCGCATGTCGAAAAAAAAATCGGGACCAACGGTGTGTGACATCATAGAATAAAAAAGTGTTTATAACTCGGAGACGGTGTGTTGAATCGAAAAAACAATCAAAAAAATCTGCCCACAACCCTGGTTCTGATTGTCCGTTCTGCGTTGAATGGAAAAGGTCCGAAGTCCGTATATCGAAAAACAAAAAAGTTAGTCAAAAACTGCAACACCAGCAGCAAACGCATTATCTTATCTATGTAAAGGATCATTGATTGATGATTTGTTGTTTCTTTTTTAAATAAATTTCGTATTCAAGTAGGTACCTACTGCTTGAGGTTCCAGCAATTTTAAATTGTGTTAATTTTTTTGAACACCTCGTGTCACAAATATAAGCACTACCAATGGCATCCATGATATGCAACATTTGCGTCAATAATTATTCTTTCAACAAAAAAAGAGCAGTACCCATCTAAAGATACACAACCTGTATAATGCAATTTTTTTAAACATAGGTGTTAATATCGTACCAAATTGAAAGTCGTCGCACAAATCTAAAAACATTAATTTCAAGTTTTTGAATTCTCCCATTCCAAGGTGATATAAAATAAATAATTAATTAGGTAAATTCATAGTTTTTAACACAAATCTGATTTCCAAACAAAAGATAAGTTCCATATCTCTTTAATTACATAATTGAATGCATCAAATTTATTTGGCAGTTATTATTTGGCAACAAAGCCACTGCTAGAACTGCCGCCTATTACCAAGTAAAAGAGTTACCATGCTAACTAGAGCTAACTAGGCTAACAGGAGCCTGCATCCATTTTACGCTGCCAAATTCCAGCATTTAATACGCAGTCTGTGGCGATTAGCTAATATTGTCTGTGGTGTAACTAACGTTATCATCCATATCATCCATCGATGAGCACAAAAATAATACAATTTTCAAATTTTATGACATTCCATGTAATGAGGTGACTGAAACGTAATTTGTTCAATTCTCCAGTTTCTGTTTTTAAGAATTAAGCTATGTGTAATTTAATTCTCAATGAAACATTCCTATATTCCAAAGACAAATGTTCAATTATTGATCAACGTGAATTAATTAATGATAAAAAAAGCAATCGTCTTCATGTTATGCGACTGATACTAGTTCCAACAGAGGTTGTTAATTGTTCCTGATGAATTCAAAGAGACAGACATACTGTCGTTTGTTGTGCGCTTAAAATGTAGACATATATTTGACTAGTATCATTTCCTACGTTCTTTGTTGTCACAGATGAGATCCGTGGTTGTTTCAGTAAATCGAGGTTAACTTTGTTTGGTTTTTTCATTACATTAAATGTGAATATTCACTTTTTCTTAATAAGCCAATCATTAGAGGTTTTGTTTGTGACAGAAATACTGGTAGCAACTGGACTGTGCCATCATATAAAAGACAGTCTGTAGACATATGCTTATGTTTCCTACTCCAATTTACCATGAATTAATTTTTTATAAACATTTTTATGCAAAAACGCATTATTTTTTAGTTTTTGCTTATAAAATTTAAACCAACGAAGCATTCTGAATGTTATATATGTAGACGATATGTAGAGAATCGAAATACGACTAAAACGAGAGGTCGTTCGTTCCGATCGGATAATTAATAACGACGAAAACACGGAAAAATCAGAAAGTTTAGCGTTTTTTTTTAATTAATTACCCCCGATAATTAGTTTTGGCACAATTGAATTTTTTGGTGCACTATTTTGCAAAATTTCTGGATGTGTTGGAGGTGGTCCGACACAAAATGTATATTCTAATTTTCCGATAAAATGATGCGAAATGGGTGAAAAATTCTTCCAAACATGCTCAAAAAACGGCAGAGTGCGCGTACGCGGTCGATTAGTGAGGGAAGATCGAGAGATGAGGGGCAGTGGATATAAAGGTATACAATTTTGAATATTACATTCAGATTGATCGTTAACTTAGGTTTTATAAGCAAAAAATTTTTTAAAAATGCCTAAAAATGTTTATAAAAAATTAATTAATGGTAAATTGGAGTAGGAAACAAAAAATAATGTATGTATACAGACTGTCTTTTATATGATGATACAGTCCGTTTACTACTAGAATTTGAATGAACACAATCACTGATTTGAACTCGTTTGAAATCTTAGTTCATAAGATTATGCTTAATGACGTGAAATAAAGATCTATCGGCTCAACTGTAACAGTTTCGTTATGACCATTATCGATATGGCATACAATTTAAAACACTGGTCTTATAATCTCCGTCTTTATATTTGTAACTATATTTTACAATATAGGAATTTTAATGGTGAAATAATAGAAGATGATATAATAGACCATTATTGTTTAATAGGTTTCTCTTTAAAAACATTAACATAGGATTAGTCATCACGATGCATTCTTCTATTGTATATTATCAAGTAGTAGGTTATCATAATGACCACAAACAGCAAAATTCTTAACGATTGTAGCTGTGGCGATTAACCCTATATTGATAGTAATAACATATTCAGTTGGCATTGCCAAATAAATTTGATTTGATAAGACCTTTTATCTTCTGTAGATACCTATAATTCGGTTAAAAAAGTAATAAATTTTAATATTAATTATAATTTTGTTTTATTTTCGTAATTAATATAAAACCAATCTGCAAAATTTAAACTATTTAAAAAAAATTTAATGGGTATCTTAAGAATCATAAGAATGTGAATAAGTTTTTTCCAGTTTTGTTCAAATTGTTACTTTATTGTAAAATATGTAATGAAATAAGTAGATAAATTAGATAAAAAAGTTAATATTTCGTTACAGTCCCAATGACAATATCAGGGTTGGTTATAAGTAATGCTGATTAATGCTAAACAGTCAGATTTATAGTTAAAACAAACTAAACACTGGCACACAAAAAAAAGTGGTCTGATCTTTGAGTTGACAATAGGTTTTATGTATTTTGATGTATTAAATCCGAATCTGATAATGGGCCATAGAAAACCCATTCTGTTAATTTAGATTTCAAGGGCGCCATCCGTTAAGGTCTGGTGCGGACATGGATAACAAAATTATTGGAACTTGAATTCATATTTAAACTTTCTCGAAAACGACCTAGAAAACTTTCTATATGAATTACCTTTGCAGCATTTTGGACATGTTATGTTATTCCAGCAGGACGGAGCCCCACCCCATAGCACCTAAAGAGTGAGAAATCACTTAAACCAACATATGGATTTGTAGAAGAAATGCACCAATTAACTGGCCAGCCAACATTCCAGAACTTACTCCAATTGATGAGTTTCTATAGGGATATTTAAAAAATCACATTTACCGAAATCATATTGAAAATATAGATCATCTAAAGCAACTACTTCGGAAGAAATAAATGAATATTAAATGAATTGAGAAATAATTATGCACAAAATTGCGTAACTTTACCCTATTTTAAGTATGTCGAAGGAATAAATAGTCTTTTGCTGGGAGGCGTCATCGACATGTGATAAATACCTACTGTAATGGATATAATATTTGTACAGATAAGCTTATTTTCTAGTCCTATTTGTAAAATAAATTTGTTTATATTAAACTAAATTAATTAGTCTACTAAATATCCAAAATGGCTTTATCTGTAGACATTTAAACTCGTTTAAATACTTATTTGTCTTGATGGGAGCATTATCACTATTATTGATAAACTTTTGTCGTCTATGAACTTTTGCCCTCCTTAACAATTTTAAGTTAGCAGTCACATTTAAATACCATATTCCCAGTCTGATCTTATTTATAAGAAATACGGTATTCTAGAAAAAGTTGGCACTTTTTAAGAACTATAGTGACAATTACTCAGGAATGTTAACAGTGTTGATATATTCAGATTAATTTCTAAGTACTATTTAATTATGCACACTTTTTCTAGTGCAATATGGTGGTACGGAAATACTTGTATAACAATTATTTAATTTTTATGCAGCTTTCTAATTTTTATGTGATTTTTTCATAAGAGTGTAGCTAAAACAATTGTTTGATGACCAGTGTTAGAAGAAATAACAAAAGTGTGTGTTAAATTAATTTCAGTCAAAATGGTAAAGTTTACAAAGAGGCAGTGGTTAACGTTAATAGTTATAAGTATCGCCGATTTTTGTAATGCCATATGCGTTTCCCTTCAAGCTCCTTTTTACCCACAAGAAGTAAGTATTCTACATTTGCCTAGTAAATAGTCCAAAAAGGTACATTTATGTACCTCTTTGTCGTGAGTATGCGACACTATAACAGCTGGATTGTTCGTCGGTTGTCTCACCTATGACACACTGATGAGGACTAATAAGTCCGAAACCGGTCTGTGCCTGGTGGGTTAGACTAACGAGCGATCCTAGCTTTTGCACTAGGTGTTGCGAGTGTAATTCAATGCCGGTCGGGGCATATAGCCCGCGGAGTAGTTGTTTCTCGCAACACTGGCAATTTAGGTACATTTATGTTATATTTAGTTCCTATATTGTTACGTAATGGTGCGGGACCATAAGTTAGTAATTCTACCAAAATTTTCCCCCATTTCCTAAATCTTACACTTTAGTTAATTTTAAGTATATAGCCTAAACAAAAATCGAAAAAAAAACAATTTAAACGTTATTTACAATGCAGACGACATCATCTAGTATTTTTTTTATTAAATTTCCAATAAACCAATAATTTCATTTAAATTTACTTTACATATATTTTGCTGAAAATAGTTCTGCATAATGCATTTAAAATTCCCATATAGTTTTTTAAAATTCTTTGAAAATTTAAAAAAATTTATTGGACAATTAATTTCTGACATTAATTTGCTCATTTTTTTATAAAAATTAATTACTAATTTTTCATATAATTTTTGCTAAAATAAAAACTAAAAGAAAATTTATATCATACGATATATTCTTCTGAAGAAATTGAAAATTGTTTTCTCTAAATTTACAACAGTAGCAAACATTAATTTATCACAAAAAATTAAACGTAAAAAACAAGTGTCAATGCCAGAAATCACTTATTGAAATGTTATTTTTTTCGCTATCAGCCACGAGTACGTTTGTACTCGTATCTATGATTAAACTTTAAACTGAATTTTTTTTTTGATAAGAAATCACTTTATTATATCCTTTATAGTATTATAGTATCCATACCCAACCTCAACTAACTATTACAAATTATTGTTAGATATATCGCAATGCTGTTTACATTTGGGGAAAGGTGCGCAAAGTGAAATGAAATTTGATTTTTTCTAAGGGTCAGTGCCCCATCTTCATAGTAACTAACAAATTATAATACATACTTATATTTTACTTTAAGAAAATAAATATAATTTTAAGGCTGCGGTTTTAGAGACAAGAAGTTGCACTTTTAATAGAACAAGAAAAACCATCTAAACCATAAAAATGTTGAAATACAAGGATTCCTTTAATTCTTCGCAGTGGGAAAACATGGGCACCAATGAAATCATCGGAATGTACTTTTCCTGTTTTGTGGAGAATTTAATTAAAATACTTAATAATTATGATTAATTCATAGTAGTTTCATAAAAGCATTCTGCGGAGTGTAACTATGTTAATAGTTGCGTATGCGATTTTCTGTTTATTTAACAGGTGTGTAAAGTTCTGGAAATGTAATGATCATAATGCCTAGATTTTCTAAAACCGTCGTCAAAAGTCTGTTATAAATTTAATGAATATTAAGCACGATAAAATTATAGTATATTAAGTATTAAGGTCAGTAAGTGGTCTTTACTGGTTGAAGATATGTTTGGAGCTCTAGTCGGAAGGCTCAAATACTAAATAAATTTGATTAAAACTAAAAAATGTAATATTTTAAAAATTTATAAAACAAACAAGATTCAGACTTAGAAAATGCTTAGCAAGTAGGATGCTCAGCCATAATTCCCGAGAAATCCAGAGATATGAAAAAATCTTTAAGCTATTTGCAGTGTGGTAAGAAAACAAGAAAAATTTTGAAAATATCACAGAAGAGGTAATAATAATAATAAAGAGTCTTTATTAAGGCGGGGTTCAGCCTTTGGCTGCTTTTGCCCAACCTGAAATTATAAAGTTTCAAGAGAAAATACATATAGACATGGAGTAAATTTAACATCTAACAGAAACATAACTTTCCTGTTGTATGATTAACAACCTAAATATTAGAACCTAATTTATATACGTTTTTATACTACATTTTAATACCACATCATCACTGACAAGAATTTACTAATGAGGACTACTAAAATAAACTTTTACCTTCTTTTTAAAACTACTGATATTTTTTATCTGTTTAAGATCATCTGGCAACGAATTAAATAACAAAGGCGCGTAATAGGAAAACGATTTTCTAAAGGTAGCTGTTATATGCCGAGGTATTATTAATAAGAAAGGGTTCCTTCTAGACCTACTGTGTATTTGATCTGCAAAAATAATTTTTTCTTTTAAATATGTAGGCTTATCTGTAATAATTATTTTCTGAATAAAACAGGCAAAGTGAATTTCTCTTCTCACATTCATTTTTAACCAACCATGTTCAATGTAGCTTGGAGTAATGTGATACCTTCTTTTAATATTCACAGAAAACCTCATGCATGTATTTTGTAAGACCTGAATTCTATGTTCATCATAAAATGATAAACAAGGACCATACACTGTATCGCAATAATCAAATAAGGATACAATTAGAGAATCAACTATTTTTAATTTCACAGGCGTACTTAGAATAAATTTAAATTTGTATAAACATCTCAACCTCGCATACGCAGCTTTGATTATACTATCGATGTGAAATGTAAAAGACAATTTTGGATCTATAGTAATGCCAAGGCTTTTACATTGATTATTTATTGGTAAAACAGTGTTATTCAACAAAAGCCTACCTTGCAAATCTACTCTACCACGGTGGGTATTTGATCCCGTTAACAAAACATTTGTTTTCTG